TTTCGTTTGTATAAATATAGTTATAGTTTAATTTGAACACAATATTTTAATGACATTATGGATTTGTTTTTATTACAAACAAGAAAATATTATATTTTAATTTAAAGCAACTTATTATTATAAAACGCTGAAATATATTTGCACAAGATGCAAATGGAAACACATCATCACTACACAGTAAGCACTGAACGCGACCATTTTATATATTTTGTTGGCTCTCGAGAGTCTCGTCCATTTACTACTGAGTTGAAAGACGAATGTATAGTATAATATATTTTAAAAATAAAATATTTGGCAGCACCGCCAATTATGACAGTCCAATTGATAACTTAAAACCTATACAATCAATTGACCGGTACCTGTATATGGAAGTACATTCTGTATAATTATTAATTTCATGAACTCAGTGAAATAAAATATGGCGGCAAGCATTCAAGGGGATGTATTAGGTAAACTTCAAATATAAAGCAAAAAATCTGTAAACGTCATTTTAACGAATAGCTGAAGTGATTGTTCAAGGTCTTAAAATCTGTACTTGGACTAATCTGTTTTTGTAAGGGTGTCGAAATACAGACCCTCTTTGAAAGAAAGGGTACTTGTGATTGGGCATGGTCATATATCTTACTTTCATTTTGACAGAATTCACCAAAACCTTACAATAAAAAATTCAACATTCAAACACAGATCCTATCTCATTTAGTTTTTTAAAATTTCGTTTTACTTGTCTTTACTACACTAGGATCTGCGCGTTCTGGTTGATGTAAGGGATTAGCCAATGAAACTTTGTTCCTGGGGTGCGATGCATGGAACTGTGGGTATTCCACTAGAAACATCAACGCTGATCACTTAATCAAATGGCTGACGCCACAGGGTCAAAAGCCGTGCGTATGACCCTTACGCGACCTCCAACTACAACCAGTCAGATCTTCATGTAGTGCAGGCTATCGAGAGAATAGAAAAACGAAACGAAATATAGATCTGGGCCCTGTTTCACAAAAACTTAAACTAAAATCACTAAAATTAATTTTAACTAAAATCAAACTGTAATTTAAAATTTTATGCGTTTCACGAAGATCGATTGTAACTTAAAATGCAATTTTAATAGATTTTAGTTAAAATTGCTTGCGCTCGCGCAGTGCACAATTCCGGCAAGGGCACTTCGGGTATAAGCATATACACGCTTCGGAGCTGAAAACTGCTGCCAGGTTGAACTAACCGTTACAATACCAATGAGGAGGGTTTCATACGTTGTAACAATGTCTGCACATGGCCAGACAGTCGTAGAGAGATGAAATAAATATGGTTTTTGCGGGTTATTCGCTTTGAAATGTATCAGTTGGTTGGCCTTGAACTTGCTTGTCGCTTTCGTGACCTTGGCATTTGATTTACTCGCAGGCTTCAATGGAAATAATTTAATGCGTATCGATAAACTAAATCGCTTGAATTTAGTAGTTTAATGGTATTTTCGATAACATAAACTATTGATAAATTGTCACATACATGTGATATTTCTGACTCGAACGATTAATCTAGACTAAAGTATTGTCGAATTTTAAAAGTATTTAGTAACTAATACACGAAATAACCAATGTTCCATGGACCCTTTCAATAATAATTTTAAAATGCCAAAGTGCCCCACTACTTATTGGATAATGCCTATCTAACTTACTAAATTAAAATGATTTTTTTCCCAATATAAATTACCCTTGGCTCCTATATAAATCATCATAACCCATAAATACTTTGCATATGGAGTATCGAGTATTATAGGACTGACGGGGTTTCGATTCCCCGGTTGTACGAGACAGGAAGTAGGGTCGCCCGTCCAAACTCGTGGGTTTTCTCCGGGTCCTCCGGTTTCCTCCCACTACTAAAGACCCCTACGCGCTTGTGAATTTTTCAAATAAAATTAAACAATGTGTTAGTCCCGAAATGACCTAGTTTGTGTCTAGTCGACGGTATACCCCATCCTCTCTCTCTCTCTCTCTCTGTCTCTCTCTCTCTCTCATTTTAAACAATTGTAGGCCTACAAAGATATATTTTTTTATAGATATTAGATATGAAGTGTGTTTAGATTTTTTTAGATTTTTTTTTTTTGGTCTATTAATTATTTGAAAATAGTATAATTTATACTTGAATCATGTGATAATATATAAAATAGTAACAAAGAGTTTTGATTACTGGGGTTTTGAGGGGTTTTTGGTTCTTGGGGTTATAATTTGGGGCGTCATCTAATTGCTTATATTGCCTTGCAATAAAATAAACGCGAGGGCCGCAGCTATATTTCCCATGCAATGGAAAGAAATTGAATGAAAATTATTTTTGTGAATGATAGTATGTTTAAATTATATAATCCGGGCCATTGCCAATATTATCATTATTCCAAATATATCTATATGTCGCAATAGATCTCACAACGTAGCTCTAATCAAAGACGATTTTAAGGAGATTTAAGTTTTTGTGAAACAGGACCCAGGATTTTAATCAGATTGGTGTAACATTTTGAGATTCTGTACCATGTTTGTTTAATTGCATAACATAATTTCTAAACAATAGCTTTCTATTTTATATTTTGAGATTCTGTGTCACAATTAACATCATAGCAAATTTCTGTAGTTTGTTTTCTCACAGTGAATAACTCTATACGGATTTAGTATAGATGTAAATTCTTTACACAAGAATAGATAAAAAGAATATATTTATATACAGACAAAAAAGAGATTTAGGCAAGGACTAGTCGAACCCACCACCAACTTATTTTAAGAGAGAATACACATGTGCTATACATAATTAGAACATAGTCATTATAATATACAATCAGCTCTTTATCTAAAAAAAAAAAAAAAAAAAAAAAATGCCCTTACTAATTATAAAAGTCGTATTGCTGCTTACTAAAACTAGTTAAGATAACAGATTGTTGATTTAACGTTACCGGTTACTCAATATGTGGGATGTGTTTTTTTCCCAATGATATACTATTTCCTGGCCTTATCTGGTTTTAAAAATAAGAGAGAACAATTTGTGACCAGGGGCGTGTTTCACGAAATTTTAACCATAAGATAAAATCCAAATTTTAGTAATTTGATTGGATAATATTAGATTGATTTTAGTGCTTAGCCAATCAAAATTGAAGTATCTACTAAAATTTTGATTTTATCTTTAGTTAAAATTTCGTGAAACAGGGCCCACGGTTATACGTAAACAAAATGATTACGTCATAAGGATATTCAAATTATCCAAATAGTAAAAAATCATAACATACAGTGATAGTTATGATATTTTGAAAAGACTCAAAAATATATAGGCATATGACAAATAAATAGAAAATAAAAATGTATTTTAAACTTGACAACCTTTACAAGAGTAAAAATAACCAATGAGAAATGTGAATATGAATGATAAATAGAATAAACTATAAATATATTAGTCTATACACAACACAAAATATTAACAATAATTATCATAATATTCATATATTTTTTATTTTAATTTTACTTATTTTTTTATATAGTTATTTAAATATGAATATACCTACATATGTACAAATTAGGACTCTTGATTGAACCCTGCCATTTCGGAATATTGGAATCGATGACGCACGCCTATTAATATAAATATCGTAGTTCTATATTTATTGTTACTGAAAGCTCTTTTACAAAAAGATTTTTCTTTGAGACAAGGCCACTGTAATAAAACCAAATTTAAAACTCACCGGAAGTGAAAGTGAAAGTAATATTTTTGAGTAATGCATGAAATTTCCATTCTCAAATAGCAGGGCTCAATCAAATGATACTATTATCTTAAAGGAATTTTAAAACTGCCAGTCCAGTTATACCATTCCTTGGAGATAGGTTTGGACAAAATACAATATCACAAAATATATACAGTTAAAACATTACCTTGAGCTAATACAAAAACCCTATAATAAACAATACACATAACAATTTTGGCCGGATTTAGTAATTAAACTGCACAAAATATCTGAGTGTTTCGGTGTTTGACGGAAGGTAATTTAATTCCGTCAGTTCTCTTGATTTTTTTTTTTTTTATCTTTTTTATTATTTTTTTTTAATAAATGAGGTTGGTGTAAATATGCCACTTCCCGTGGTTTGACCCCTTGATTCAATCATGGGGACCCATGAGGTCGAGGATAGATAAAGCATCAAGAGTCATAAAGGCAAGGAGACAAAGTATATTTTGCAACATCTGAACTAAGCATTTTCGAGTATATGTCTTATCAAATAAAATATTTAAAAAAATAGCATTGAAAAACTAATGCATTGAATTGTGTGAATATACGAGTGTGTTCCATGAACAGAATATCATAACCTAAATGCTACCTTTGCAATCAACATATGGTGAGGTAACGACTAAAAACTCTCCGGTTATATGTCAGTCATGTCTAATAATAAGCATGAACACTACTTTCGTTTTACACTTAATTTCAAAATTCTAATCGAAACCAACGTCCCAGTGACGCTATTAGATAGATCTTATCATCGAAAACGGCATGGACCGTAATTTTCAAGTTGAGGCCATAATTGAATGTAAAAGCTTCTATTTAACATATTCACAATTTACAAATTATAGTAATTTAGCAATTACAAACTTATTCATTTGAAATGTAAATATTGTCTTATATATCCACCCTTTGCTAACTTTTCGGTTGTATTTACATACATCGCAACAAAATAACTAGTGTGAATTGATTATATACTTGAAGAAGGCCACAACGTACAATCTTAGTGCAGAACAAGGAAAGAAATACAGCATATAAACTTGGAGTTCAGGACTACAATATCCCTGACTAACTCATGTTAGAGCTATAAATGTAAAACCACAAAATTATTTCATGAAGAAAAAAGAAAAATACGGCATTACAGTGTTACCTCAAACTGATTAATTACGCAAAGGAAAAATAAGATCCGAAAGGGCAACCGGTAATGACATTTTGATTATGCTTCGTTTCCGTAAATCTTCAACATAACATGTTCAATTTGTTATTTCCCTGAGCGAATATAATTATTAATCCAGTCGGTATATGCTGAAACATCGGTATATATTGCTGATTTATTTATCTGTGCACACCCAGATCCTGCTGAAACGATTCCAGCAACGTAATCTCTTCCGTCTCTCCGACAGATCAATGGTCCACCGGAATCACCCTGAAAATAGAAAGCAAACTTATGATTATACTCTTATGATACAAAAAATCCCCAACAACACCTCTTAGCCCAAGATAAAGAAGTATGATCACATGAGTATGGGGCAGGGTAACCACCTTCAAACATTAATGAAATATAGCCTATAGATGTGTTACTTTGTTTAAGCACTACTGTAATAATTATACCTGTGTCCTTGGATTATTCCAGGGTTGCTATGGGAGATATAAATCTGTGCAAATGTTGTTATGGCCTTGTGTAATGGGCATACACCTTTCAAGGGTTTCTATGGGAGATCTAACCCCATAAATGAGTAAATGGGTTGATGCACTATGAGTATACCTGTTTCCAGGGTTTATTTCAGGTTTCGCCCTTGCGGGTCTGACAATGAAAGTGTATAATAACGATTCGTTTGGGTGAGAAGATAACCGGAGGTTTATCTGTGTACGTGCAAGAACTCCTGTCAATTGGAATTGTTGAGATTTGCAAACTCAGCTAGCCAGCTTAACATTTCCCATTTTATTGCATACGTAACAAAAGTAATCGTATGCTGCTTCTAAAATCTCCACTTTTATTTGACACGTAACAAAGGTAATCCTATGCTACTCTCATAAACCCATTAATTCTGAAGCATTACATTTCATTATTTTGTTACTTACCCCACATGAATCTTTGCCCCCTCTTAAATCACCAGCACATATATTTGTGTTTCTATAATACGCTTGATCATAAATACCTATACAGATACTGTCATCTACTATAGGTATCTGTACCTTTAATAATACATCTGATAATGGTGGATTAAAAACTGCAAAAAAAACAAAAAAAACATGATGAGGTATTTTAGTTGCTGCGATCACATATCTCAAACTTCGAACATAACATAACAAAAATAGTAGTATACGTCCGAATTAGAAGATCAGAATTCGTTAATTATGGTGTCAATAACAACAAAAGGAACAATCAGGTCTGGGGTTCCGCAGGGGTCCCCCAAGGATATGTATTTGGACCCTTACTCTCTATGCCATGTACATTTAGCGTTTTACCTTTCCATAAGCCCCAAACTCACAATTTCAATTGGCATAGAACTATAACAGATACCGACTTGAACTTGTTTCGCGATTTTGCACGACATCACATTGTTGTAGGTCTATGCGTGCTTATCATTTAATGACGACATTTAATAAATATTGGGCAACTCAATATGTATATATTTGTTAACTCCCAACACCGTCTTAATCGAATCGATTATATGATTAAGATTAGAACTTGGAAAAGCTAATGCCTAACTTTAATGGAATATGCACCGAATTATATAAAAATAACAAAGACTATGTTCTTCGGGTAGTCTAAAAATGCGGTTTTGTTTTCTCGTCTATATGATTAAGATTATAATTTTGAAAAGCTTATAGTCAGTTTTAATGTACAATGCACTGAATTATATGAAGATAACCAAAAATAGTCCAATATTATATATTTTGTAGACGCCTTTCCCACCAATTACACAGTACAGAAATGTTTGACAACACTGACCCCAAGTAGAATTCAAACATGCTGACATCAGCACGCCCGATTTAAACTATTTGATATTACATACTTGTAGTAAATAGTACATTGGTGAGACCCACAGCCAACCAGATTAAATATACTTTATTATTTTAACACCTGTGAAATGACTTTATAAAAGAGAAGAGGTCGTTGACATGGTTCAGAATATTAAATGTTCCATTAATGTAATAAATAATGAGCGAACTGAAACTTTGCCAGACATTAACAACAATTAATAAACATGGCCATATTTTGGTGTGTGTAACTAAATGGGTTTATAGATAAACAAAATAATAAACTTGCCCATATTTTGGTGTCCGTGACTAAATTATTTCTAAATAGCAAATTAATAAACATGTCTATATTGTGGTGTCTGGGATTAAATGTTTCATGAATAACAAAATAATAAACATGGCCAGATTTTGGTGTCTGGGACTAAATGTTTTTTAAAGAAAAAATTAAGAAATATGGCCAGATTTTGGTGGGTGTAACTAAATGTTTTGTAAAGAACAAATTAATAAACATGGCCAGATTTTGGTGGGTGTAACTAAATGTTTTGTAAAGAACAAATTAATAAACATGGCCAGATTTTGGTGTCTGGGACTAAATGTTTTGTAAATAACAAAATAATAAAAATGGCCAAATTTTGGTGGGTGTAACGAAATTATTTGTTAATAACTAATTAATAAATATGGCCACATATTGTGTTGGTGTCTGTGACTAAATTTTTTGTAAATAACAAATCTCAATAAACATGGTCATATTTTGCAATCATCGCGAATAATAGATGGTGCAATCTATTTCACCGATTCTCTGTCGCGTGTAGGTCTTTAGCAGTGGTAGGAATACGACCGACTCGGGGCTTACCCACGAGGTTGGGCAGGCGACCTTACTACTTGTCACGTACATTCCTGGGATCGAAACTACACCGCTTAACTCGGTGACAGACCTTATGATATAGCCCACATGCGTTCGCCCCCTCCCACACTTGAACGTACCGTTAGGCGGCCCTAGTTATTAGAAACTGTAGATATTGCTGCAAAAGACGTTGGTAAAAACTAAACTTACTGTCAAAATATGGTTCTGTAACACCCCATCCTGTTACAGTACACTCCACATTTCTGAACGTTTCACCGAATTTAGGAACACAGATTGGTCTCATGCAATTATACTGACTAAATAATATAGGATCCTTTAACCTCAATATAGCTATATCATTTTCTGTAAAAAAAAAATTAGAAGAATTCCGAACATCTTAATAATTAGATATCAATAGTCGTGTGGGCAATGGTTAATTGCACTTTGGGCTTATCCTTAAAGAAGCCCGGGTGTAATAATTTTGTGCACGTTTAACATTTATTAAATATTGTGTATTTAAAGTTTAACGCCCACGTATTCGATCACATGTCTAATTAATTGATTATTGAGCTAATTTTATGCAGATCAGGTTACCAATATGTATATAAACTCAAGCAGAGCGAAATATCTGTATTCACTCTAAAAATAAACATATATGTCGAACACTTTATTGTTTACTTTTATGATGACTTAGAACCTAAGCAAACAACCATCTACAACCTATACCTATTGCACTAGAATCTTGATTCACAAGATTCCTCAAACATAGACCACAATAAAACGACCTGTTCTCTGTATGCATAAAATGAATACACTGATACCCCACGGACGGATTACGTCGTTGATAGGATATCGGGAGTCAAGGTCAAACACTAGAGCAAAAAGTGAAAAACAACCCAAATAAAATCACCCTGCTTTAATTGTATATCGGGTTGTACCGAATTCAATCACTGAAGAAGTTCAGATTGATATAAGACTTAGCAAATAATCTAGTGCTTAATTAGTTGCCTTCCCTGGGCTAATGAAGACGGGCTTTGATGAAAATTTTGCCCGGACAGCGGCGCTATGGCCTACTGTTATATTCTTATATCCAACTGCCAATGGTTCTTTTAAGTGCAGACCAATGTGTACACGGGACCTCGGTTCTACGACTATACATTGTCCCATGAAGTCCCCCCCCCTCCACACGTCCTACACCACTGACAATGGGGAGCCACGCCATAAAATTCCGATAGAATTTCTCGGCCCAATTTCTTGGGTCAGAAAGCCAATGTCTTACTCGCTGAGCAATTGTGGCTCCCACATTTTTTATATGATTTCGGGACTTAATTCCTAAATAACGGTACATAGTTTCCAGTCAAACATTAACTAGATTGATGTGACAAAAACATACAGGTGGGAGGGGGTTGTAAATAGAAATAAAACTAATCTTACCATAAGTTCTATCGTTATAGCTTTCATATAAATGATATTCATAATTAGTTGTTTTAAACTCATAAACTGGATCAAATCTAGATCTGTTATATTCTCCAATGGTTAAAACGGGTATAATGCCATTTATATCCCTATAAATAAATAAAAAAACTTTTCATTAGTTAAGATTCTTTATAAGTAAGATATCTAAAAAATATTATATACCGTCAAATATCTAAGACATTTTATGTGTAAGATGTCTTAAAAAGACTATTTATAAGTCGGATATCTAAGACTTATTATCAGTAAGATATCTTTATACGTAAGATATCTTAAAAAGATTATTTAGAAGTCGGATATCTAAAACTTTTTATAAGTAAGATATCTTAATACGTCAGATATCTAAGATTTTTTATGGGTAGACTTTTTATAAGTTCGATATCTTAATAAGACTCTTTATAAGTTCGATATCTAAGACTTTTTACAGGTAAGATGTCTAAGACTTTATAAATAAGACATCTAAGACTTTTTATGAGCAAGATATTCAAAGATGCAGTATAAGTAAGATCTAAGACTCTTTATAGGTAGGAAATCTAAGTTTCTTTATAAGTAAGATATCTATAAGATTATTGCCAGTGTCCTGTGCAACTAAACACCTGGATCCTACTAATCACCGACTATAGTGTTTCTTTCACCAATACCGTCCAAAATAAAGCAAAACGTGACCAACACGAAAATATATGTTTTTTTTTTATTTAGATACACATATTCTAAACATCATATCCAAACAGGAAATGATTTCGTGAAATGCCGACAAGTGGGTACCATAGCTTTGTATTTTTTTCATATTACCCTTACTCGCCTAAAATCTCAACAACGGTGTCGCTTAAAGATAAAGAGATGGCTCTTCTCGCTATAATAGTTAAAAACTAGATAGTGTAAAGGTAATTTGCTGAAAATTTCAGTCAAATTGATACACTATGAGCCGAAAACGAAGCGGGTGAAATTTTCGCATAGTCTCGGTCATCATTACTAAAATCATTAATATAAACAGCATAGTCTCGATTATCCGCTGTTTTGATTTAATTATCAATGGCCGTTAAGCGGCATATAGGAATCTAATCAAGCCAACATCGAAGGCTAGCCTTGACATCGAGAGTTTATTATGGTCTGGATAAGTTAATTAATGTCTAATTGATAATTTAGATAACATTTCAGGCCTAAAGAAAGACTTGTAATAAGCAGATTTGTCTCTTGCATAATGCATGTTTAATGAACAGACCACGCTTATCCTTTTTCGAAACCCTTTGCATTCCTGGGTCATTTTACATATCCCTCCCTTTGATTAAGCAACTGTGTTTTAATTGTTGCAGGCCATCTGCCCACAAAACCTTTTCTAAAATGCATTGATTACGACAATTATTTTTATGTGTAGATTTCACTGATAAAGGTTTTAAAATCTAGTCGGGATTTAGGACAATGGGATAACATCACTTACTGTTATGTTACAAAACACAAAATTAATTGGACTACGACGATTATGTCATTATCTCCCTATCCTAAACGTTAATGTTTCCTCCTGGGTCACTTTGGGCATTGCTTTTGTCGTGAAAAGTAGGGCCCGCAATCTATGTAGGATCGAAGTGTTCTAAAAGTTTGGTAAGTATTATACTATATTTATGTAACGTGCCGAAGTACCTATTAGCATTCGTCCATTACATATTATCATTTCTCATTGAATAATACAAGTATTAATGCATTTCGGAAAAGTAAACTATATGTATTTGTGTCTCCACCCTCTTTTGTCATCCAAGTAGTGGATACAACACTCGATAAATGAATTACTGGATATCTATAAAAATATTTCAATGAACAGTCGTGAAACTATGACGATTGGGAAGGAGTAAGAACAACACCATTACCCATTATCAAAATATGCCAAATGTTTAGGACTACGTGGTATTTAGACTACTTAATTGAATCATATTCTACGACACAGAACATAATCGTTATTTCTTTAAGAAAAATAAAGCAAAAAACCCACATATACAGTATGCCAGGTAGAAGGTTCAGAATTATTACCCTTGTGGGGGGGGGGGGTGAATGGCCGAATTGTTAGCACGTGCGCGCTGTATCACAAGGCCTGTCATTGAGTCAATTGGCGTGGTTTCGGGTCGCCTGTCCAACCTCGTGGGTTTTCCTCGGGTCCTCCAGTTTCCTCCCACTGCTAAAGACCCCTACGCGCAACCCTAACCCTAACCCTTGTCACATTTCTCTCTCTCTCTATTACACATGTTCCATGCGAACACCCTAACTTTTGCAAACCAGCCCCTGACCTCCACAAAATAAAAGAAATATTAAAAAAATAAATATAGCCTACGTATAATACTAAATCCAAATGACATAGAGCATATTGAAACCAAACCCTGCAGTCAACAAAATCCAAAAGTTCTGGAAGCAAAAACAAAATTTAGAATACCGTGGTAACATAAGGCAAAATAGTCTAACTTCTGACTGAATGCACCATGTACAACAAAATGGCTCGCTGGATAGCAAAGTCCCAAACAAATGAAATGAAATGGGGTTTAACATCTTACTGTTCTGCTCCAACTGGGCTAATGAAGGCGGGCATACAGCATACAGTGTGCTATGAGGGAAATATTGCTTAGACAGCGGCGCTACGGCCTACTCTTATATCGAATTCCAACTGCCAAGTGATCTTTTACGTGTATGCCAATGTGTACACAACACGGGACCTCGGTTTTTAGTCCCATCCGAACGATTAGACAGCTGTCAGGGCCTCTCCGTCCTGTACCAATGACAGGGGAAAACCACGATGGAAAACCCCGACGAACTTTTTCGGCCAACAAAGTCCAAAACAAGGATATAACATACCATTTTAACCCAACCATTAGAAAAATACTGTAAACTACTTAAACTCGCGAATCGACAAAATCCTGGGTCCCAACCACGACTTTATAGATGCCCAACGAAATGTATACATGATAAAAAAAAGTGTCTTACCAGAAGCAGTGAGCTGCTGTCAGTATATGTCTAGAGTCTATTATAGTTCCTCCACAAGGACTATCAGCTCGAGCTACATGTACCATATACTGAAACTCACAATTATCAGCTTCTATACCACCTATTATCTTTCTACTCGGCCCACGAACTCCACATTCTGGTGCTGTAATGGAAAATATAGAGAATCTCACACGATGAATAACGATTTTTAATTTATTCCGACGGATAAAAGTGATTAGACATGACAATCAAAGTTTTAAAAAGGAATGTGCTCTTTGACCTATTTTTGTCCCTTTTCAGGTTTCAAATAACAGGGTTTTTTTTTAATTGATTATGGGCTTGTCATATTATTTAATGTTTAAATATTAATTTATATAACGTTTGAAGCCAGCAAAAAACCTGCAAAATGTAGATTTGACCTTTAAACATACATTATGCAAGAGCTAAATCTGCCAATTGCAGGTCTTTCTTTAGGCCTGAAATGTTATCTAAATTATTAATCAGACATTAATTAACGTATCCAGACCATAATCGTACCGACTTTAGTAATGATGATCAAGGCTAGGCCCAAAATTCAATCGCTAAATTCTCGGTTCAGGGTAGATCAATTTGACTATTATAGTGAGAACTGCCAGCTCTAGATCTAATCTCCCATAATGTATCTTTAAGTATGAGCATGTCCAAATTACATGTAAATATATTTTATTCAAAATGAACTTACTAAATATTTTAGTCATAGGAGCTGTGGTTGTCGGTGTTGTTGTTTTTGGTGTTGTTGTTTTCGGTGTCGTGGTTGCAGTATTACCGAATGTTTTGGGACAACACCATCCAGAACCCTGGCATAACAACTGTTGTATAGCTATGTTGCCATAGGAACCCAAAGGTTGAGTATTTCCTGTACACCGAGACAAACATTCTCCATGAAAGAAATAACACCCTGAAAACAAAAGAAAGTGAATAGTTTTGATTTGTCTGGAATTTGAAAGTTATAAAGGGGTTGCTGGTTCGTCAGCTTGAAAGGTTGGCCAATATATCGAGACTTAAAAAGAGTAAGATATTTTTGATAGTCTAAAAATAATTTAGACATAATGTACCCCACCCCAGCCATACCCCATCTCATTTGTTTTCTCACAAACTGAATTTTTGTTTATAGGTTATTGGAGGCGCAATTTGTAACTTTTTTAGGAGTTAATACGACGTACGATCTTGTCTTTTAAGACCCGGAGAAAACCCACGAGGATGGCCAGGCGACCCTACTCCGAGTCACGTACAGCCAAGGAACTAAAACCACACCAGTTGACTCAATGACAGACTTTATTGTACAGCGCGCACGTGCTAACCATTTAGCCATCCAACACCCCTCCCTGGTACGGAAAAAGCTCATTAATTTTATTACACAAACACATTTATTGTTCTGCGCCTGTTTCCTCTTTCACACTTTTATTTTATACACTTGCTATGTATCTTAGAAATCTTTATATTTGTATTGCAAAGCCGCATTTAAACACGTTTATGCATGATGCGCTATATACGCATTTCATAATGATAATAATATCAAATATTTATATTGTTTTGTAGGGCGGTTTTTTACATAACCTAAAGGGACTAGAATGATCGCGATGATTGTTTCAAGCTTATCTAGCTGTTCACCTGGCGTTGTACTGGTTGAAACCTGCTACGGAAGTGGCAGGTACCACAGTCACCTTGCAAAATGCTTACTGTATTAGCACACCAGAGGGTGAGGCGGGGGGGGGGGGGTCTAGTCGTTTACCGCGGCCGTGTAAAATCACACGGTCTGTCATAGAAGCAAGTGGCGTTGTTTCAATTCCCCGCTTGTACGTGTCAAAGAATAGGGTCGCCTGTTTAACCTCTTGGGTTTTCACCTGGTCTTCAGGTTTCCTCGTACTGAATTATTGAAATAAAATTGAACGATATGTTAGTCCCGAAATGACCTAGTTTGCATCATCAATTGGACGTTAACAACCCTCTCTCTCTCTCTCCTATAGCTGATGATGAAACTGAAATCAGCATTGACAAATATGCGCCAGAAATCAGCATTGACACCACGATTTTTCCAAAAAATGTTCGTCGCTAAGTCAGAAGACTCCCCCCTCCCCACCCACGGAACAAAAATCAATACAATCCTGACAACGGGCCTGGTAATTATAATGGTTGCTGGTAATAATGATAAGTATTAATGATAAGTTCGTCGCTAAGTCAGAAGACTCCCCCCTCCCCACCCACGGAACAAAAATCAATACAATCCTGACAACGGGCCTGGTAATTATAATGGTTGCTGGTAATAATGATAAGTTTTAAAAGTCTGATTTCACCTCAGTGAGCCAGTTCATGACTTATATGATAGTCTGTGGTTTTAACTTCCAACTGTTATTGACATAGACTTGTTGATCTAGCAACTTATCAACTATTCGACTTTTTAACACCGTCTTTTGTTTCTGTGGTGAAAAAACAATTAACTTTTACGCGAGAAGATATATTAACCTTCGTTAGGTATTAGACAAATGTCACCACCTCTAACTAGGTTAAAATACCTTACTAAGTTACTGAGGTAATCTTACACACATCAGAATTTGGGTTAGTAAGCGCCCTTGAAATCTTAGATAATCAGGTCCGTCATTGAGTCAAGTGGCGTGATGTCGATTCCTCGCTTGCCCCCCCCCCCTCCCTAAACGCCCCTAACCGCCCCTAACCGCTAGCGAATTATTGAAATAAAACTGAACGATATTTTAGTCCAGAAATGACCTAGTTTGCCTGGAGTCTGCGTCACCCTCCCAAACCGAAAGGACCTAGTTTGCCTGAAGTCTGCATTACCCTCCAACCGCTCCCCCCACTCTCTCTCATAGTCGCTAGGCATTGATTTAAATTTTAAATTGATTATGGTATTCAATTTTGTTAAATGTGACTGGGGGATCACGCTGGCTAAGTGGGTACAACGCTGTCTCGCTAGCCTGGAGGTCGGGTGTTCGATCCATGCATTGACTGAGAAAGTTCATCCAGCTTTTCCGGTGTAGTTCCTCCTTGTCAGTGATGCAGGACGGAGGCCCCGTGTACACATTGACGTACACGTAAAAGATCCCTTAACAGTTAGAATTCGATATAAGAGTAGGCCGTAGTTCCGTTGTCTGAGCAAAATTTCCCTCATAGCACACTGTTTGGCGTATACCTGTCTTCATTAGCCCAGTTCGGAGCAGAACAGTAGGACGTTAAATCTCACTTCATTTCATTTCAGTTAAATGTGACTGATTTGGTAACCAGGTCAGACCAGTGAACTAGTTATTATCACTACTTCCGGGCATTCTGCACACAAAGATCCATCTACTTGATACTTTGAGAATAAATCTCTGTGATGAATGGACGCCATATCCAAAAGTTAGTATAGTGTTTTGTAATGCGGTGCTTACACACAAAGACTAAATAAGCCTATTCAATTCCATTAAATGGAAGCAGATAAATACTTCTCAAATGTCTCGAAGTATGCTTAGTGTTTTCGACTGAAATCATCGATTTAGAACTTATTGTCTGTTCTCAAGCGGAGCTAACTGTAGACAGGCAGCATAAGTTTAGTATGTAGCCTACTTCCGGGTAATACCCCAGCTAAATTACATTTACATGATTTACTGGTCGTTGAATTGGTCGCAGCGATTTTCTATAACAAGTAAAACTGGATGTCCGTTCTCGTTAAACCCCCATGTCATTTCATTGCCTGACCCTAACCCTATAACCCTAACCTGTTATATTGTTGCCATTTTACCTAAGTATTAATAATCATTTATTTTATCATAATTTGCGCTCTTGGTTCAAGCAGTATTTATTGAGAAAGTATTGCACAATTTAAAGGTTATAAAGAATAGAATACCAAAACAACCTCAGGCGTATAATACTTTGCTTCCTTGTGGGTAGGCTGCACAATATATTTACAATTTTAAATAATATAAGAAGATATAGGCGAGCCCTGTATTTTAGTTCTGACTCAAATAGGTAAATAAATATATAAATAAATATTTAGTTATTCTGTTATATAGGTCACCGCTTACGTCACTTCCGTTTTGTCGTGATTGGACAAATGTTTTAGTGGTTGTATATCTTTATACTCTAAGTAGCCCATGGCATCAATTCCAATAATCAGGCGAGTCTTAGGTTATCTCAAAAATGGTATTGTTAACACTTATATAATTTGTTTTCTTGGTGTTTAAACTTATTTAATTGCATCCACATAGAGCTTGACAAATAACAAATATCATTATTATTGTTATCTATTAAACATACATTATGCAAGAGGTAAATCTGCCTATTGCAGGTCTTTCTTTAGGCCTGAAATGTTATCTAAATTATTAATTAGACATTTATTAACAAAACAAGACTAGTATCAACTCTCGATGGTATCGGATACTCCAGATTTTAACTGGATTAGAACGATTCGCCATTTAAAAATTTAATTTAAAAATGGGAAAGCGAGGCTAAGTCTCGAATATACTAGAACCCTGGTTATCACTATGTACACATCTTGTCAAAACTACAAATAGTGATAACTTGGCTCAGAATGAAGTAATTTGAATGAAACTTTCAATATTTTCTTCTTTTTTTATCATCTATTTTTTTATTATTATAGCAAGAATGACAACTCTTTATTAAACTCTTAACTAATGTATCTTTAACGTCTCCTCTTGGTGAGAAGTACAATCTTTGTATTAATATCACTATAATTATAGTATGAGATTTTCCAGAGATCCTATAATAAACTTATTTGTACACGTGTTTTATAATTTGTTCTCATGGGTGCTATGATAGTATTACCTTAAATCCGTACAAAATTACTTTCATAGAAGTGTGGGAATTTCTTAGTGCCCCCACTCTTGACATTATACTTATTGTCAACCATTGATCTCCTTTCTATATTCCAAGACATAATTATAGTATATTATACTGTATTTTATAAGCTTTTGATTACCCTCTCTTACACCTTCCTATAAGGCTTATAAATTGTTAATATAATAACAAAATAAGGTGTAATATCAAACCAACCCAGAACGAAAGTGTCGAATATTTACCATAACGATTTACTGAAGATTTGAACAAAAGTCTCCGTTAATATATTATTAATTCGAGATCATTTGAGTCTATAGAAATGACAAAAC